GACTATAACATATCTTTACGAAGTTGTAAAATGCTATTAAATAGGTGGTAAATAGGTGGTAAATAGGTGGTAAATAGATGGTAATTGGCATCAAAATTTAGCCGAAAAAATCAATTCAAGATATTTTATTGATGCATTAAATATTACTTGACGATGAATCACAATTTTAATTAATTAATTATTTTTTTTTTAAATCAATTTAACTTTAATAAATTATAAAAAATATCATTTTGTAAAAATTAATAAGATATAAATAGACTAAATTTTATAGATCTCAATACCCCATAAAAAATCTGTTATGTCTTGTATACGTTTGGCATACGTTTTTATAGATTTCGTATAATTAACTGATCTTTTTTAGCTAATAATTTTATCGTCATTCCGTATCATAACATGCGATCACGTGATTGTTTTTTTTTTGTGATACGTTTTTTTTTATACAGTATATGATTTTGATCTTCCTTTCTTTCCTTTATTTTTCTTATTTTGTCACTCTCTTTTTCTTTATTTGTCATCCTCTTTTTTTTTATTCCCCCTTTCTTTTTTTATTTTCTAGCTTCGTCGCCCCTTTAAAAAATATTTATTTCCCACTCGCACCTTTTTTTTTTAAAGAAAAAATTTCTTCTTTATTCCTTTCATTTGTCTCACCATTTATAAAAAAATTTTTTTTCTAACTTTACTCATCGTCCTTTTCCTAACTTTGTTACCCTCCTTTTTTAAAAAAAATTTTTTTTTATTCCCCTTTTTTAGGCTTTTTAATATTCTTTTATTTTATATTTTATTCTTTTTTTTTGTCGGTTGATTCTTCTTTGTGAGTCAATTCTTCTTCATAGGTCAGTTCTTTTAACGTGAGTCAATTATTTTTATGTAGATTAATTCTTTTTCATGGGTCAATTCTTTTTCGTGGGTCAATTCTTTTTCGTGGGTTGTTTCTTTTTCGTGGGTCAATTCTTTTACTCTTACTCCAAACTTTAAAAATGCCAACTCTTGGAGATTTGAATGATAACAGGGGAAGTTTGGCTCCTAATTGACATTCTTATGTTTCTTTTTTTTTGTTTTTTAGGTTGTTAGATTCTA